CTTAGAACAAGCTTAGCAAAGCACAGGGACCGCGGTTCAATCCCCCAGCACTACATGCCAGCCAGCCCCGCCCCCTTGGTGGGCTGAGCTGGCCACACACACACACACACACACAAATTTAAAAAAAAAAAAAAAGATGTAAATCTTAAGATTAGAAAATTTAGAGTCTCTAGAAGAAAACATGGAGGAAAGCTTTGCAACATTGCTTTAGCAATGATTATTTCTTCTTCTTCTTCTTCTTCTTCTTCTTCTTCTTCTTCTTCTTCTTCTTCTTCTCCTTCTCCTTCTCCTTCTTCTTCTTTTTTTTTTTTAAATGTATGTAGTACAGGCTCCACTACGCAGTTTGGACTCTTAGTGACTCTCCTGTTTTCAGCCTCCCCAGTGCTTGGATTATAGGCATATAATCCCATGCCAGGTCTTAGTGGCCAGCTCAGTGTTTCTGGGGGCAGGACAGACACAGCATGTTGTGCCAGGATTGAATCCCGGTCCCTGCCTTGCCTAGCCAGGTACATAGTCCGCTGAGCTATCTTGCCAGCCCTGGCAATAATGTCTTACATGTGACATCAAAAGCACATATAACAAAGACCAAAAAAAAAAAAAAAAATTGAGACAAGGCCTCACTATGCAGTTCAGGATGGCCTTGTACTCACTACTATAGACCACAGGCCAGTCTCCAACCTCCAATGATCATCCGGTCTCAACAGTGCTAGGATTACAGGCATGCACCACCATGCAAAGGCAAAATTTAAAAAGTAAAATTGTATCAAAAATTATTCTGCAGAGCAAAGGAAACAACAGAATGAAAAAGGGTAACCTATGGACAGCAGAAAACATTTGCAGGCCATATTCCTAGTAAGGGGTTAATATGCAAAATATTTAAGTAAGTCCTACAATTCAACAGTCAAATAAAATATAAAGCAGTTTAAAAATGGACAAAGGACCTTTGCAAGGGTATCTGGAAGTAATCTGCACCGAGCAGGCAGCTGCAGTAACTACAGTTTCAACTTCAACTCCACAATGTTTCCCTTGGCCAAAAACGCATTAGGTCATTTTCCAGTGCAAAGCATTCAACAAATGGTAGCAAGGCAGAGCCACCAGAAACGGACACCTGATTTCCTGAACAATAAGGTAATGCTATATTAGTTGGTGGAGCCACATTCTGTATTGCTGCATGGACCTACACAGCAACACAGATTGGAATAGAATGGAACCTGTCCCCTGTTGGCAGAGTCACCCCCAAGGGATGGAGAGATCAGGAATCATGCCAGCTGATATGATACAGCTAAATTATTTCTAAATGAAATCATAATTGATGCCAAAAGTGCTGTGTATCTATTAAAATATAGCCTACTGAAGAAATAAAGTACAATTGAAACCTTCAAAAAGATAAATAAAATAAATAAAAATGGACAAAGGGCTGGGCATGGTGACACATGCCTATAATCTCAGCACTTGGGAGGCTGAGGCAAGAAGACTGCTACAAGTCTTAGGCCAGTGTGGACTACACAGTGAATTCAAAGCCAACCTGGACCCTGTATCAAAAAACCAAAAATAAATAAATAAAAATGGACAAAGGATTTAATACGCATTTGTACAAAGAAGTTAAGCAATAATTAACTGAGATATAAAAAGGTGCTCCCCATCACCAATCATCAGGAAAATGCAAATCAAAAGAACAGTAAAAGGGGCTGGTGAGATGGCTCAGTGATCTAAAGCACCTACTTAGAACAAGCTTAACAAAGCACTGGGACCGCGGTTCAATCCCCCAGCACCACATGCCAGCCAGCCCTGCCCCCTGGTGGGCTGAGCTGGCC